TTTATAAACAGAAAGAGAGACACATGTGGTCACCCACTATTAGGATGTAAGTTCCTCAAGGGCATGAACTGTCTCAGTTTTGAATTTGTATCCACAGAATCTGGCATGGTCCCTGGCACATAGTAGGTACTTAATAAAGATTCATGAGCTTGTGGGAAAGCCAACAGAAAGAGTAATAAAGACATGCTTTTTTTTCAAATGGAAGCTTGGCTAGAAGCCTGGGTTGTACTATTGTGAGTATTAGCCAATTAATCATCACAACAGTTTGATGAAGAACTAATTAATCTTTTAAGCATTTAGAGGGTCAAAAAACCTGGGCTCAGCTCATAACATTTTTTATGACACCGTTGTTATTCCATGTCTTTCTTTTCCCAAGGCAGATTTAATCTAATTTCATTGTTTTAGAGTTTAATTGTGTTTCAGAGCTCCACTGGGGAAAGAGCCCTCTGAATTCCTTTTCCATCTTCTCTCCTTCTCCCTCCCAAATAAATAAATTTGTTTGTTTGTTTGGGTTTTTTTGCCTAGGCAATTGGGGTTAAGTGACTTGCCCAGAGTCACATAGCTAGTGAGAGTCATGAGTCTAAGGCCGAATGGTACTCTATCTACTGCACCACCTAGCTGCCCTGGACTGGGTGATTTCTAAGGCACCTTCCAATTCTAAGTCTTATGACAACAAACTGATGAGAGAGGTTGGTGGGTGAAGATTTACTGAAGGAAAAACAGGGGCACTAAAGTTCTCTCTTTCAGGAAAAAAAAAGTGTAGCAAAATCAATCAATCAACTAATAAGCATTTACAAAGCATCTGCTATGTACCGGGAATCATTACTGAACTGGAAGAAAAGCAGAAACTAAGAAGTAAGTTCATTTGAAGCCTTTGAACTGACTCAATTATCACTGGGCACCATCCCTGGCATTACAGACATAGGAGGCATGGGCTTGGAATCTGTACTGCCTTTTTTGAGCAATACCCTATTATTGCCAGTTGCAGAAACACATCATGAGCCATTTTTCCAATTGCTTTAAAGAATTTTTTTTTACTTAAGGTTGAAAACACCCCAATTTTGAGAGGGTGTAAGGGTAGAAACATGCCCAGTGTGTACTTGGCCTATAAAACACACCAGCAAAAAGCATATTTTTGCTCTACTCCATGAAAAAAAAATACCTTGAGGCTCATGAACAAAAGGAGAGCCTCTAGGAAGAGTAATAAAGACATAAATACATTTTTTAAATGGAAGCTTGGCTAGGAGCCTGGGTTGGGCTATTGCAAGGATTAGCCAATTAATCCTCACAACAGTTTGATGAAGAACTAATTAATCTTTTAAGCATTTGAAGGGTCAAAAAACCTTGGCCAGGGCCAAGGTAACATTTGTTATGACACTGTTATTATTCCATGTCTCTCTTTTCCCAAGGCAGATTTCCTTTAATTTCATTGTTTTAGAGTTTAATTGTTTCTCAGAACTCCTCTGGGAAAAGAGCCTTCTGAACTCCTTTTCCATCATCCACCTTTCTCCCTTCCAAAGTAGCTGCTCATACCCTTACAAGAGGAAATCTTGCTCCAGTATTTTTCTGGAGTCACTACTTTTGGGTCTGCATGCAAAGGCAGGAGAGGCAGATAAATTGCCTGGGAGAAGCATGTGGATGGTCCTTCCTCCATATTCTTCTTAAAAGATCTACTGTTTGTTCAAAGCTTCACAGAATTTCACGTTTGAAGGGATATTGTTGTTTTCAGTTGTTTTCCAATTGTGTCCAACTTTTCATGACCCCATTTGGTGTTTTCTTGGCAAAAATACCGGATTGGTTTGCCATTTCCTTCTCTAGCTCATTTTTGCATATGAGGAGATTGAGGCAAGCTGAGTTAAGTGACTTACCCAGGGTCACACAGTTAGTAAGTATCTGAGGCTAGATTTGAACTCAGTAATATGAGTCTTCCTGACTTCAGGTCCAGCATGCTATCCACTGTACCACCTACCTGCCTCTACGAGCATTAGAAATCAACTAATTTAACCCCCTCATTTTACAGAGGTGGGAAAACTGAGAACCACAGAGAGAAAGTGACTTACCCAAGGCCAAACGGATAGTACATAGAGGAACAAGGATATGAACGTTGGTCTTCTGACCCCTAATGTAGTTTTTAAACGGTAAGTCAGAGAATCATAATAATGAATGGTATTTATATAATGCTTCAAGTTTTACCAAATGCTTTACATAGATTCTCTCATCTGAGAGAAGTACTTCAGGTAGTATCATAATCATTTTACGGATGAGGAAATTGAAGCTCAGACAATTCAAATGACTTGCTCATTATCAAACTTAGTCATGTCAGGGGTGGGATTGAAACTCAGGTCCATCTGACTCCAACTCCAGCTCTCTATTCCCTATACCACATTGGGCTAAAGGGTGTACTAAGAGTCCATTTACTTGTTTTACAAATGAGAACAGGACAGTCGTTCTTCACACTGTTTAGAAACTGAAGATACTTTTCATCACCTAAACAAAATGTGTTCCCTTCTTACTGGGGACCTATCCCCAAAATTGTTGTTGTTCAGTCATTTTTCAGTCATGTCTGACTCTTCATGACCCCATTTGGGGTTTTCTTGACACAGATGCTAGCATGGTTTGCCATTTCCTTCTCCAGCTCATTTTCCAGATGAGGAAATGGAGGGAAACAGGGTTAAGTGACTTATTCAGGGTCACACAACTAGGAAGTTTCTGAGGCCAGATTTGAACTCAGGAAGATGAGTCTTCTTGACTCCAGGCCTGGCACTCTATCTACTGTGCCACCTAGCTGCCCATAGCACTGCCTAGCCACCCCTAAGTGTATCCCCCAAATAGTCTGGTAAATCAATCAAGGCCCCATATTTTCCCAAGGCCACAACAATTTGGCTGATAGCTTGAAGGTATTTCTTTACAGAGAATCACAGAATCTCAGAGCTGGAAGTGACCTCAGGGGCCATGTAGTCCAACTAATACTGGACTGAGAATGCTGTCTACAGCATGCCAAAAATCAGTCATCCAGCCTTTCTGGGAAGACCTCTCTAGTGTGACGGCTCATCCTAATTCCAGATAGCTCTAATTCTTGATATGTTTTTCCTGACTTCAAGTGTGTCTCTTTAAAACTTGCATCCATTTTTCCAATTCTGCCCTATAGGGCCAAGGAGAATAAGACTAACCCCTCTTCTGTGTGACAGCCCTTTAAATACTTCAAGGCTGCTCTCCTGCCACCTAGCTAAGTCTTTGTCAGGCTAACAATAACCAGATGCTTCAACTGGTTATCATACAGCTTGACCCAAAGCAGAGGCATTGAATTCAAGCAGAAAGGGGGCCAGTAAACCACATATAAGGATCCCATAAGCCTCGTATTGACTTTGAAAACCACAAATTAATATTATCCATGTTCTGTTGTGTTTTTATTTATTTTGTTAAATATTTTCCCGACTTCATTTCAATCTGACTCAGGAATTTCGACCAGCTGGGATCAAGCAGAAGGCTCTTTTGTAGAAAAGTGTTCTTCTCATTACTTAGAAATAAACCCACATATGGGGCTGCTAGGTGGCGCAGTGGATAGAGCTCTGGCCTTGGAGTCAGGAAGACCTGAGTTCAAATCCAGCCTCAGAGTCTTCACACTTACTAGCTGTGTGACCCTGGGCAAGTCGCTTAACCCTGATTGCCTCACCAAAAAGCAAAAAAACCCCAAAAACCAAACAAACATGTACTGTAGACTTCTACGTGTTGTTGCTGAGTCATCTCAGTTGTGTCTTACTCTCTCTGACCCCATTTGGGGTTTTCTCATCAAAGATACTGAAGTGGTTTGCCATTTCCTTCTCCAGCTCATTTGATAGATGAAGAACTGAAGCAGACAGGGTTCAAGGTCACACAGCTAGCAAGTGTCTGAGGCCAGATTTGAACTCAGGTCCTCCTGACTCCAGTTCTAGCGCTCTATCCACTGTACCACCTAGTTGCCCTTTCTACATGTTAGGAGAATCCCAATATTATTTATATAAAAATTGATGATAATTTTTATACTACTGTTCCCATAGAAAAACTATCCTTTCTTCTCCCCTGCCCCATCACTTTGGGTATGGATAGAAAGGTGTCTTCTTTTTGTAATATTATGTGGCTTTACAGAGAGGCAGCATAGCATAGTGACTAGAGGGTCAGCCTACGAGTCAGGAAAACCTGGGTTCAAGTCCTAACCCTGACATTTACTAGCTATGTGACCGATGGCAATAACATAACCTCTTAATGTCCCAGTGACTCTCTTAAGACTAGGAGTTATAGAAAAGTTGTCATCTTATTTTTGTGGAAGGAGTTTCCATAGCAGGAATTCCCTACAATAATGAGATCACAGGTCTGAAACAAAAGCAGGTAGATGGATAGATGGATAGATAGAGATAAAGATAGATAGATAGATAGATAGATAGATAGATAGATAGATAGATAGATAGATAGATAGACATACAGATGGATGCATAGATAGGCAAGCAGAAATGGTTGGATAGATAGAGGGACATAGACAGGCAGGCAAAGACAGACATAGACAGATGGATAGAGAGATAAAGACATAGACGGATGGATGGATAGATAGGTAAAGATAGGCAGGCAGAGATAGATAAATGAATAGATAGGTGGCAGACAAAGATAGAAGAATGGATAGATAGATGGATATAGACAGGCAGGCAGAGACAGAGAGATAGATGGATAGATATAGACAGATGGTCAGATAGATATAAACAGAAGGAAGGATAGATATAGATGGATGGATGGATGGATGGATGGATGGATGGATGGATGGATGGATGGGTGGATGGATGGATGGATGGATAGATAGATAGGTAGGTAGGTATAGCTACTCTAACCAAAGTATGTTTTTATGCAGAATCATTCCCACAGTGTTATATAGGTTGAGACTTTGAAGCATGTCATGAAGTAGAGCAGCTTAATATCATTTAATAACGGAAGACCAACTAGTATTTTTTCACTGATTTTTTTTCTTCATCTAGAGTGAAATGGACGAGACCCAGATACAGCTGGGTGGAGATGATGTGGATTTGCCTGAAGATCTTCGGAAAATGGTGGATGAAGATCAAGAAGAAGAGGAAGACAAGGATTCCATCCTTGGACAGCTGCAGAATCTCCAGAACATGGACTTGGATACGATCAAAGAAAAGGCTCAAGCCACCTTCACTGAAATTAAACAAACAGCAGAACAAAAATGTTCTGTGATGTAAGAGAGATAGGAGCTGGCATAGTCTGGCAGACAAAGGGTCCCTATCCAGCTGAGGGGGTAGGGTTATCATGTGGCATTTTAAAAAGCAACACGTATCTCAAATAGTGATTAGAGTGAGTGACTGAGCAGCGAAAGCATCAGACAAACTCACAGTCCTGTAGATCAGGTAGCACCTTGTTGATGCCAGAGGATATTATACTTTAAAGGCATAAATTCTTACATATGTAAGGTTCAGAAACCACCTTATTTAATGAAATGACCCTTGGGATAATTAGTGAACCATAGGGAAAGACTGAAATTCTCTCTCAAGTTCTCTCCAACTCGGTGATTCTTATTGACTTGGATCTCGGTATTTGGCACCCCTTACTGTAAACCAAGTGTGAATGTATGAAAAGACCTGGAAAAGGTGCAAAAAGGAGGAAACACAAAAGCCAGGTGTGCTAGTTGGTGTGTGAGCTGCTAACATTGCTAGGCTTACTGCAGTTACCTTGTCTATTGTTGCAGAGGTGCATAGACATTACCCCTCATGCCAACCCAAAAAGAAGGTATTGACAAAATGTCAGTAGACATGGAGTAAGAAAAAGACTGACTACAAATTTCTCAGCCTCATGCTGCAAAAGGAAACTCATGGAAGGCCCATATCATCTTCCATTCCCATCTCAACAAGGCTGGTTTTTCATCATGATAGCTACAAAGCTGGATGGGAAGTCTTTTCTTTTTCCCATTAGACATAATCCTGCTGTCCCACCTTCCCACAGCATGGAGTGAAATGGAGGGTTGTTGGTGATTTTGTAGATTTGAGGTATAATTCAGTACCATCACCACCCTACAAAGAGGGAGGGAGGAAGGAAGGAAGGAAGGAAGGAGGAAGGAAGGAGGGAAGGAAGGAAGGAAGGAAGGAAGGAAGGAAGGAAGGAAGGAAGGAAGGAAGGAAGGAAGGAGGGAAGGAAGGAGGGAAGGAAGGAGGGAAGGAGGAGGAAGGAAGGAGGAAGGAAGGAGGGAAGGAAGGAGGGAAGGAAGGAAGGGAAGAAGGAGGAAAGAAAGGAGGGAAGAGGAGAAGGAAGGAGGGAACGAAGGAATAGAAAGAAAGAAGAAAGAAAGAAAGAAGAAAGAAAGAAGAAAGAAAGAAGGAAGAAAGAAAGAAAGAAAGAAAGAAAGAAGAAAGAAAGAAAGAAAGAAAGAAAGAAAGAAAGAAAGAAAGAAAGAAAGAAAGAAAAAGAAAGAAAGAAAGAAAGCAGCTGCTCTTGATCAAGAAGAATCCCCCTGGCCCACAAGAATCCAGGATGCTCCAAGGCCCTGGAGAGAACATATCTCATGCTCAGAGATGAATGTTAAAGATGTTTTTTCTTGAAATGACACCTCTTCTCTCACACTCATCCTGTCTTTTTCATTATTGTGGCAAGCTTCTTTTTCCTACTGTCCCTGTTACCCCCAACCACAAAAAAGGCCCCTTGAATGAAAAAGGAGACATTAAGTATATCTTGTGAACTTTCAAATTTTATTCTTTCCTTTTATTTTTTTCTCCCCTGTGATCCCCATTTTCTCTGCAAACTGAGAGGACCTTGTAGCCCTAGTAGTCATTGATTACTCTTATCTCAAATTCTTGGCATAAATGAATTATTTCAGAAGTTAATAATGGTGTACAGATCTTCCCATTCCCCTAAATGGTCTGTATATTCCTACTTTCTGATTGCCCAGCTATCTCCACCAACTGGCACCCATGATCCATGAAATTTACAGAAGTTATTCCCACTCATAAAATGGGACTCTGGTACCTCTTCAGACATATGATATATTTTAAATAAGTATTTCATATTTTGAATAAATTCCAAAGTTCAGATCCAGGAATTGGGGGGATCAGAGTCTGTGTGGGGAACACCCAAGGTGGAAATTCCATTCATCAGAACTAATCAGGGGCAGTTAGGTGTGCAGTGGATAGAGCACCAGCCCTGAAGTCAGAAGGACCTGAGTTCAAATCTGGCCTCGGACCAAACACTTGGCATTTACTAGCTGTGTGACCCTGGGCAAGTCACTTAACCCCAATTGCCAAAAAAAAAGTATATAAAGAACTAATCAGCAACTTGTCTCTGACTTAGAGTCTTAGAGAGTTGTCTAATATACTGATAAGTGGTGAATCAGTAAGTCAACAAGCACTGGGAATACAAAGATGGGTAAAAACATGATCCTGCCCTCAGAGAACTTACATGCTAATGTAGAAGACAACTAGCAAAAAATTATTTTATACATATATAAATACACATATATATTATACATATATATTTATACATACATATATACATATACTTAAGTACATGCATATATGTAGATATGTACATATGTATATGTATGTGTATATATATACATATATAAAGAATATATATACACATATATATAAAGAATACGTATGTGTGTATGTGTGTGTGTATGTGTGTGTGTGTATGTGTGTGTATATATATATATATATATATATATGTATATATATGTAAGCCAGGGAAGAGAGCAGGGACAGGAGAGAAGAGAGAGCATTCCAGGTATGAGGACATTAGTGCCCAGGAATGGAGTCAGGAAATGTCCTCGTTCTCAGTTCATTGACTGAACTGACTACCCATCCTTAGGCCAATGGGTATAGGACACCATTTCTTATCTCTTTTCCAATAAAAATAATAATTATTACTATTATTAACATTTCTATAGCACTTACTATGTGCCGGGTGCCGTGCTAAGTGCTGTACAAATATTAACTCATTTGATCCTCACAACAGCTCTGGGAAATAGGTGCCATTTTTAATCCCCATTTTACAGTTGAGGATACATAGGCAAACAGAGATTAAATGACTTGCCTAGGGTCCCACAGCTAGTAAGTGCATTAGACTGGATTTGAACTCAGGTCTTCCTGACTCCAGACACTCTGTGTCACACTGTGACATCTAACTACCCCAATACCCCATTCTTCCCTATAGTTGGTTCTAATGGATAGGATGCTTCTATGTGTTTGGAAGTATGCACGCTCTAGATAACTCTCTAAAATGATAAATTGCAAAGAAGATGTTGACCTGCATTGGTAGTGGGAGCTCCTTCTACCAATGGAACAGAAAATGCTGTGGTTGACACTTGAAACCATTGCCTGGGAGATGGCATGAAGATGAATTTTCTGGGAGAAGCGCAGTAGTGGTCTCCAAAGCACTGAGTGATATGGCTACCAGCACAGCCTCTCACTCCTCTGTACCCCCTGCACAGGAGCCGGATAGCTCTACCAGCCCCAAGCCAATGCTCCACTTGTGGTCTTTTTGTCTCTTGTGTTACAGAGCATGCAAGAGCAGGGAAAATGATCTTCCCAGGACATTCCCATTGTGGGACTGGCCTTTTGGGGAGTCAGAATAGGCAGCCACTCAACTAGCTGACTGTCAGAAGGGCCTCCTCAACAGCAAATATTACCCTCACTGACTTCACACACACACACACACACACACACACACACACACACACACACACACACATATGTATATATGCAAATATACAGGATCCGGTAAGTCTGATGGAGGGCAGAGGGCTCTCTAAAAATGTCTCTTTAAATAAGACCTCTATCAGATTTTTCAAAGAATGCTTGTTAATTAGCTAATATTCAAATTACTGGGGGGCAAAGGGGGTGATAAGAAAGAGCTTTTAATCTGGATTTGAAGTCAGAGAGGCACCATGGCATGGTGGGTAGAGAGCCAACCACGATGACCTGGGTTTACATCGTGCTTCTGATATGTATTTTTTTGTGTCACTCAGAACAAGGCACATTCTCAGTGCTACAGTTGGGTCTCTTAAGACTATAAGTTGTAGAGAACATGCTGACCTGCATTGATAGAGGAAATTTCCTCACTCAACAATTCCCTACACCAGGTTAGAGAACCTTCAGCCTTCAGACCCTCTAGGTCCTCAAGTGAGGCCTTTTGAGGCAAAGGGCCAAACTTGAGGACCTAGAGGGCCACATGTGGCCTGGAGGCCACAGGTTCCCCACCCCTGCCCCACCCCAATGAAACCACAAATCTGCTCCTTATCCCTTCAAATCTTGTTTTTCTTCCCAGAAAACCTAACTGGCTGAAGGATTAGCAGGAAATCTGATACTAGAAGAAAGCTGAATTCATTCCAACTAATATAGCAGATAGAATTGAATGCACCTCAGTGGTTTTTAAAATCAAAGTTGCTCTATTATTAATGTATTGGGATGTGGAGTTACACCGAGAGCTGGTTTACTAACACAGCACTTCCCTGGGAGAGAGAAACTAAGACTATCTCAGCCTACTGCCTTACTGATGCCTAGGAAGTGCCAGCCTGGGTTCATAATTCACAATTCAGGGATTAGAATGGAAACTTTTTATATCGAAGCAGCACTCCTGTTTATCCTTAGCTATTTAAACGAGGTGCAATTCGTACTTTCATCCACATCCTCATTTCCAGAAATGTCTCAGTGCTCCTGGGGAAAATTTAGTTTTGTCATTTCAAGTTTGGCTTGAACCACAGAATCACAGCAAAATCCAAATGTCAAAAGGACAATTGGTCTCTCAAATTCCAAATTAAAACAAAACTCAAACAATTTCTTCCACAGTTTTTAGACAATCCTAAAATTCCAAGCATCTGACTTGGTTTGCATTATCGATTTTGTTGGGGTCTCTCATACTATCCCTCATTGCCAATGTCCATATACAAACATAGGACTGAGGATTGCTGGTTCAGCTGCCTTGTCATTTACCAAAAGGTCCTGAAAACCAACAAGTTTACACAAATATGATTTCCTTTAAATTGAGAGCAGTCTTTTTTCAGGGTATCTTTCCTTGAGGCTGTTGGATGTTAGGACCATGAGTCCCAGCAAAGTCTAAACACAAGTAGTTCTTCTGAATTTGTCCTTTTCTAATAAGAGGAAAATTTCTTTGTCCATCCCCCAGAACTTAGCCTTTCCAGAATACTTGAGAGGTAAAGTGAATTCTGAGTCAATCTTTTCTTTTTTTTTTCCTTCTAATTAATACATTTATTTTCAGACAATTGGGGTTAAATGACTTGACACACAGCTAGTGGCAAGTGTCTGGTCTGAGACCAGATTTGAACTCAGGTCCTCTTGACTTGGGGGCCAGTACTCTATCTACTATGCCACCTAGCTATCCCTGGTAAAGTGAATTCTGAGGAGACTCCCTTAGTAGAAATTGAAGGTGATTTAAATTACCAGGCTAGAAGGCCTAACAAAGCTGGAAAACCTGAAACACAGTTTACCGTAATTATTTTTTCTTCATAACACAGAATATTTTTACTTTGTTCTCTCCCTTCTGGATGGCCACAGGCAGTTTACTCTCTAATCTCCCAGGAGTGAGGCATGC